AAAATTGTTTGAGAAATAAAAATATGAATGAAAGGCATGGCCATTTAACATTTATAGGAAATTTTGTATGATTTTTGTCAGCTCAATATTTAAAAGGATTTTCAAGTCCTTTGAAATGCAAGAATTTTATAAACAATGCAATGCAACAAACCGGGAGAGGGAATTAAAAAGGATATACCAGAGAGCGATGAGAAAGGAAAACAAAGGTAGAAAAATACAGAGAAATCTCAGTGGAGCAGGAAGAGAGAAACGCAGAGAAGCAGAGAGAGAAAGAGAGAGAGAGACGCCCAATGGTAGGCAACACTTTTCCCAAACGTCAACGCTGCGTATGCGTAATGTGAGCGAACAGTAAGTCGAAAGTGGAATGGCGGAAAATTAAAGTTTACTGCACGCCCCTGTCTGCCCCCTTTTTCGTACACCCCCACTTGGGAATCGTGGGGAGGTTCCCAGCCCGGCTTGCCCCCTTTTTTCGACAGCTCCAACGACTTCCTGACGTGCAGGCGAGCGCAATTTATGGCGTGGCAATGCGTATGGCCCGCAAAGGGGGGTTCAAAGCGGAGCAGGGGTGCCTTTTCAGGGGGGTTCCAAACGCAACACCCTGTAAATGGACACTGGGGTGTCCTAAGCCAGGCAATAAAAACATTAATATTCATCAACCTAAATGTAGAATAGCGCTCTATAACATCTACTGTTTAACTTAAGAGGTCAATCAACAACAAACTTCACCATTGTACAACTTGATTTATCAACTATAAATAAAATGTTTAAATATTTTAAAGATTTTGAAAAACAATTGAATCACCCTACTTCCACAGACACACATAAATTAAACTGCATGTTTGGACCGCGGAAAACGGGAAAAGTGGGCGGCAGAAGTTCAACCGTGTTTAATTTGCCTTCTTACACTTTTCCTCTCTTTTTGGCCCTAATGCACTCGCATGTTGCATTTACACAAAAATTTCCTTTTATGTGTTTTTCCTTTTTGGAACAAAAATATTTTTGTTTCGCTTTTGTGGGCTTTGTTCGTCGGCGAAACGAAGGAAAATACAAAAGAACAATGTTTTCTTTTTTTGTGCTGCTGGTTTATTTGGTTTGTTGTTTGTTTTTTAATTTTGTGGGTGGCGCTGACGAAGCGTTCTCTCTTTCCCCGATTTCCCTCTTGTTTGTGTTGTTCTGCTCAGTCAATTTAAATTGCATTTATTCAAATTTCGTTGACAAGGCTTGCGGTTTGAAAAGAATGCAATGACTTTGCAGGGAACTTTAAGCGGTGGTTGCTTTTTGTCAAACGGCCGCATTTACAAAATAAGTTTTCAAGGTCCGAGAATTCCTTTAGAAATTTCTATAAAATGACTAACAGTATTATTACATGTGAAAATTTTCGAAATGAATAACAGGCTTTTTATCACCTATTAAGAATGAGTCATTGTATTCCTCAAAGTCTAGAATTTATATTTTAGATAAGAAAAATGCTGTAAAAGCTGGTTTAGTATTTTCAGCGATTAAATGTCAAGTTTTCAGTTGCTTAACTTTCAATGTTTGTCTTTCAAACAAGCATTAAGTTTAGAAGCCTTATTTCCATAACCAGATATCCTCTGATTTAACTGTGAAAATATGGAAATTTTTTTGTAAACCGGTTTAGGTGTACCATATGAGTCTACTATATGTGACGTACAGAATTTTTAATTATTAAATGACATACTTTTGAAAGAATGGTATAACTTTGTAAATATTTGATTATAAAAACTTTTGAGACTGAATTTGACGATGGTAAAAATCCTAAAAAAAAAAAAAAGACTGAGTGTTTACAAATTTGGCACTGAATGCCCTTTATTTTCTTGTTTTACGTTTATGTTCTCTGTTGCACTTTTTCTATAAATTTCGTACTTATTTTTAAACCACTCTCGAATAGAACCCTCTGGGAAAAGGTTCCCACCCAGCAATTATAACACCTTGAAAACTGCACCAATCTACCCGCAGACAAATTCCTTCACCATTCATTCAATGGCCACTCGATTTTCACTTCTAGACATTCCAATTCACGGCTGATTGATGGCTGCAGTATTTTATGAGAGGAAGTTGGCGATAACTTCCTCGTCGGCGTTTGTTTACCCTCGAGTGGGGAACCCAAAAGCCCGAGAAAACCGGCGTATCACCCATGTGACTCCGAAATACAAGCACAAAAAGCGAAAGGTGAACGGGGGGTTCGAGGTATTTAGCTGCAATTACTTTTGCGTATTGTTATTAACTTCTACACTATTATTATGCATTATATTATGTACACGGGTAAATTACGTATTATTTATAAAGCACTTTTCTGCAGTAATGCAAACGATTTCCTACACCGATTTGTTGACTTTTCGGGATGTTTTTATGTGTATTATTTACTATGTATTTTTTTCGACGGACGCGACGAGAACGCGTTATAATGTTAACTGAACTGAATGAGAACTGCGAATCCAATGGATTCGGGCACGGTAGAATAAGTATAAGGTGGTCTTGTCGGGTCCTCCAGTCCGTTACAATCTTTACAATACGTGCGAGTGCAAGGGTATTCACTAGTAAGTGCGAAAGAAATAGCAGTAGAGTGTGGTATTTAACCCTAATGTGGGGCATGGGGTTTCAAATCGACGGTCATATTAGATTTATATGATTTGCTACGTGGTTTATCAACAAGAAGTTAATTAAAACTCTTGTCAAGACACTTGTTTATTTTATGAACCTTCTTCGTTTGATAATTTTTCGATAGGACACCCGGTCTACAGGAACCGGCGTTAACAGAATTGCTTAACATTAAAAGGGACAACGTTTGTGTACTATGGTTCAAGACGAAAGTTTCTTGCGGGTTTTTGGCTGACCGTTAACGGACTTAACCCGAACGTTTTGCCATCGGGGTTCCTATAAAAATGCCCCACGAAAAAGAGAGAGGAAGAGAGCGACGAACAGAGGTAATGGAGGAACAGCCGATAAAAGAGTATGCTCCCCAGCTCTTGGAGAAATATAAAATAAACAAAAGCGCAAAACGTGCGCAGACTGTGCGAGCGAGAAGGCGACACAGATGTAACCGTATGCCGGTTGCAGCTTCTTAGCCAGTGCGACAAAGAGGGGGTAACGGTCAGAAAGAGAGAGCTCCATCCAAATGCAAACGACAATAAAAAGCTTCAAAGTTAAGTCAACAAGGCATCGCGATGAAAATTTAATAGTCATTAAAAAAAAAAAACAACAGTACGATAAGTGTGCGAAGCTGTGCTAATTATCAGAAGAACCTATAAAGATGGAGATGAAAACGAAGCCGAAAACTCTGAAGATTCTTCGGTAGCTCTGCTAAATGTCTGTTCAAGTGTTCTGCCAGACATCCCCACATTTTTCACCAACAGTATGACTTCACTAAATGGAACCAATAAAAAGAAGTTGTAGCAGAATTTTTAAATTTTACTTTTTGTGGAAAAACTTGGCCTTGTTTAAAATATTTGTAGGTTTAAATTGTATTCACTTTAAATAAAAACTTCTTATCGGGGTCCCACTACATCGTGTCTAAGCATTCCATTCAGTTACTTTAACAAGCGATAAACTTTTAGCAAACTGCCGCAAGTGCTCAAAAAAGATTTGAAAAGTGAACAAGAAAGGAAGCTAGCTTCGGCAAGCCGAAGCTTATATACCCTTGCAGTCATCAAATATGTCGAACAAAACACATAAAGGCTAGACAACATTGAAGCTAAGACGATTTTTCTATTCATTTCCCATATTTTTGACTATAGATCATATGGGAGCTATACGATATAGTTGTCCGATTTTGATCAAATTTAACTCGTAATTCAAGAGTCGTAAGAACACTCTATATTCCAAAAATCATACTTTTTTGATGAAAAACAACGATGTTATCAATTTATTTCCATTAATTCTATATATAATTTTCGATCTCTCCTATGGCAGCTATATGATAGAGTTATCCGATTTTGATCAAATTTAATCCGAAATTCAATAACAGTTAGAAAACGCCATCTTGAAGAATTCAAGTCGATCTGATGAAAAACAACAGAGTGAGAATTTTTTATTTCATTCTCTTGTATTGGAGCTATCCGATATAGTCGGCCGATCCGGCTCGTTCCGACTTATATACTGCGTGCAACAACTACACAACTTTTGGGAAAGTTTCAGCACGATAGCTTTAAAACTGAGAGACTAGTTTGCGCGGAAACGGACAGACGGACAGACGGACAGACGGACAGACGGACAGACGGACAGACGTACATACATATTTCGATTCTGCTCGTGATGCTGATCAAGAATATATATACTTTATGGGGTCTGAGGTGTCTCCTTCACTGCGTTGCAAACTTCTGACTGAAATTATAATACCCTTTTGCTCTGCAAGGGTATAAAAAGCAAACACGGATACAGACGCAGAAGTATTTGCATACAGATAAGTACCCAAACATATATGTATGTACATATGAGCGTGGGTGACCCTTAACTAGGCGTTAACTGAGCTTAAATGGGCTTTAAGTGTCTCTAATTTATGGCTTACGTTGATGGCGAAATCAAGTGGGACAGACGAGTGCAGTGGCCACTTAAAAGTTAGGGTTAAATCCACATTGTGCTCCCAACTAAACTTCAAGTGTGAGAGTACTACATTTTATAATTAATTTAAATTGGGGGTCCTGTCCTAATTTCAACCCTTAAATGACTTACATAAACTGCTTTGGAAAAATATATAAAAAATTATTTTGCATACTTATGGGCTGCATTTTATGTAGTCAACTGCATGTAGGTGAGAAGTAAAATACTTGTAAAACCGTTCAATATAGAACTGGGAAATCTCTCCCAATATTCAATGGATATTACAAATAAAATGATATATAAATTCATATGAAATTATTTAAGTTCTTGAACGAAGATTTCCGCACAAAGCAGCCATCAAATCTCTCTTAATAAATTGAACCCAATCTTCATTCACTCAAAAGATCCTTTTCATTTGCCTTAATTGAAATTCTAAAACTCACCGTTATTGTTGCTGATGGCGAATCGCTGCTGCAGCTGCTGGGCCAACGCCTGGTGGTGCTGGGCGAGGGGGGTGAGCGGTGGAGGGGGCTGACCCACGCCCAGTTGCTGGGGCGCCGACTGCGAGTGCGGGACTCCGCCGCTCAACGAGGACGTATCCGAGGAGCCGTCGCCGCCGCCACCTACTCCGCCACCCACGAGGCCATTGGCCATGGAATTCTGGGGGTTCTGTCCGTTGAACTGCTGCACGGAGATCGAGTTGGGGAGTCCCTGGCTGGCGGAGATGAGCGGGTTGCCGGCGGTGCCGTAGGTGGTGGCGTTTATGGAATTGTTGGCCTGGCTCATGGAATTGTTGTGGACGGCTGAGTTGAGCAGCGAGCCGTTGGCGGTGGCCCCACTGTTGCTGCTGTTGTAATACGACTCCTCGCCTGCAAATCAAGGACAAAGATCAGTAAGTTGTAAATTAATTTCTAGAGAAAGCTGGTAGACGCTATTGTTTTCTTATCTTATAAACGTTCACAATAAACTTCAGTTATACTTCGTGTAATCTCTTAACAGAGTGCTAAGGCTTATACAACTACCGTTTAATGCCTAATAAATTAAAATTTTTCAACATCAAAAAGGGTTCTCGATTTGCTATCCTCAATCCGAAATGAATTAAAATGTTTTATTTCAACCGTGCTAATTGTTGTTAAGGTGAATAACCTCCCGTAAAATTTCTTGGAAGTAAAGTCTTTTTTGTACCAAGAATTCCAGGAAATTCTTCGCAGAACGCCGGTTAAAGTACCAGTCCATTCATAAAAGCTTTCCTTCAGTAACAACAACGAAACAGCTTTCTTCAGGCGAAAGTCTTTCTCTAAATGGCGCCGCCTATCGTCGAGTAGTGGCAGTGAACTGCTTGCTTTTGCCTTTCGCAAGCAGTTTTAAGTTGAGGTAGGTTCGGATTTCTCGCTATAAAAAACAGATCCCTCCTCCTTCTTCACTTCCCCCTCCACTAGATTCTCATTTGAATGCATTTCGCGTTTTATTGTGGAAAGGCTTCTCCTTGTCTTGTTTCCCCATGGATGCCTTAACTGCCCATGGGCATGGACAATTAGCCGCCACTGATTAATTGACTTTTAGCGGAAAAGTCGCGACTCGGCGACGACAGCGACTCGTAAAGTCCGTTGACAAGGCGCCTCCTTGAGGTGCCACGCCCCCAATCTCGCCTCCTTCGCCTTTTACACTTGGCAAAAGATGTGTCGTTTTGTAGAGCCATAAAAAGTATTAATATCAAATCATACAATTGTAAAGTGAATACCAACTTTATAACCATTTATGGGAATTCAATAGAATTTGTTTAGAATTTAACGCTTTCTTTCTCCCTGTGTAGCCCCCATTTCTGTGGCTCTTTCACCACAACTTGGCCAATTGACGAGATGGCTGGCTGCTTGTCAGTTCAACTACGCAACTCAAGCGGAAGGAAGACGCTTCTTCTTGGCTAGCAAACAATTTAGCAGAGTGCTAACCTGTCTAGTTACGCAGATTGAGAAGGAGGAGGGGATGGGGGCCTCGAGGGGGGAATATCACACTATAAGCCATGGCTATATCGTGCGTGGCTTATGGCCAATTTCCGTTATGCCTGCGCTTGCTTTTGCCGCTCTTTCGGTTGGCCGTAAGCAAAACTTGCTAACAATTGGCAGCCGACAAAAAGTTTTGTTGCACATGGCGAACACGAAAAAAGAAGAAATATAAACAAAGCAAAATATATCGAGAGAAAAAGAGGAAGAGGCCTCAAAAAGTTGTGGAAACAATCAGCAACTTAATTTGTGCGCTTGGCACGCATTAAGAGATTCAACAAATGTATTTGTTTATATTTCGGGGAAGTTTTTGGGATTTTGTGGATTCTTTGATACTTTTTTTTTTGGATTAAATGATTGTTAATTTGTTAAGGCCAGCAGTCATAGAAGGTCTTTAAAACTACGTGAACAATTTATTGAATTGAACCTGACCTTTGGTTAGCTACAGCTTTGTATTTATTTTTTTATTTTACTTAAAACTTGGTTTAGAACTCACCTGGTTCTGGAATATTGCCCAGGGGACTCTCTGGCATAAGAATCCCCTTTTGCACTAGCTCTTCACGATTGGCACGCACAGAAATCTTTCGCTCCAGAGCTGAAGTAACAAATAAATAACTAATTTAACATTCAAATATACTACAATAGTTTATAAACTTACATTTGGAGGCCGCCTCGAACTTCTCGCTCTTCTTTTTCCGCCTCCATTTCCAGGGCTTGAAGAACCTTCCCAGGGCACTCAACTTGCTCTTTCTTTCCAAGGGCGGAGTCCTGGTTCCGGATCCCAAACTATTTGTGCGTATGGCAGCTCCATTCTGTTTCTTAGCTGCAATTTAAATCAGAGAAATCAATTATAAATTGGGGAACATTCAAATGAAAAGCTGGAGTCAGCTTAATCTGTCAATATTTATTTTCTAGCATTAGTTCATATCCATAAAAGACAATCTGTTTATCTTCCTTGGCAGCAATCGAAAATGGATACGAAGAGGGGCAATTGGCAATTAGCATACATCGCAAACATTTCAATGGAAACGCTCTTGCGGAAACGGAAGCGGGCGTTCCCCCATTTTGGGCCACCGGTTATTAAATGGCCGACATTCCACGCCCCCTTTTACCGCTATTGTGTCGGAATGCCGGCATGTTGTTTTCAGTTTTGTTTTGTTTTTTCGCCGTTGTGGAAAATATGTGCAAACGTCTAAGCAAGCCATCATTTTGCTGCTGTTTTATACGATTGTGCAATAAATAATTAGCTACTCTGCAAGTAAGGAATTTAGTAATGGGTTTTGCAATGGTGCGTAAAATACTATTATGGTCACTAAACATGAGATTTTAAGCGGATTGTAGTCTTTAAAAAACAAGTGTTTTAACATTTTTATTTCCTCCCAAAGACAGTTGTCCAACTAAAGCAAATAAAGTTTCGATTTACGATAAAAGGCTGATAAATTTATTCTTTGCCATTTTAGTCACTCATGCCGGGGAATTTTCCCAGGGGACAGCTCTTTATTTTTCCAACTGGACAAATATTTAAATTCCTTCGTTGCTATTCGGAGCTCCATGCCAGTTTGCATTGGGAAATCTTTTGGACAAACAACTGATGTGGGGAAATAGTAGGAATACACATGGAAACACAAGTAGGGAATGAAGATAGGGTAAAGGAAAATCAACAAAAACAGCGCAAGATATGTCGCCTCATTCCGCAGTCGTACCCCCGAATCCCGCCCACTTTTCCTGCCGTTGATGCTGCTTTTCAGATAAGCTTTTGGCATACATATGGACCATAAAAGAAACACCCACCCACACGCTGAAAAACTTTGAAGTGCTGCCTGCATTGAAGCGTTGAAATTAGGCTACCTGGGAAAACGAATAGGAATAGTGGGGCTGGGGGAAATACAGAGGCACTTTGAAGTAAAAGCGAGGCGGGGCCAACTGTAAAGTGCTCCAAATGGGCTAACAACTATTTGGCTTCATGATCTTCTTACCATAACTGGGCTTCTCTCGCTGCGAGTGCTCCAATTGTGGTCAATTGTTGGTCAACAGCAGCCAGTTACATAATAAAAACCAGGAAAGAGGCGAAAAAAGAGCGACATCTTTAAGTTTGCTTCTGGTTTTGTGTATCTCGTGGATGCGTGACACTTGAAGGGAATTACTTTTGCCAACAGCAGACGCCCCACAAAGAATAACAGCGAGGAAAATCTTTGACTCATTTCGGATGGCGCCAACAAAGAAAATCGGCAAGAGGCAGGGGGAAATTCTCGGAAAATTGGGTGACAAGTGTTCGGGGTGGAATATATTTTCTTACAAATAAATAAACTATTCAGAGTATACTCTTTATAATAAAATAACAAACAAATTTAAATTTATATTGCTTTTATTCACATCCCAAGCAAACAACTAATTTGATTTTCATTCTGTTTGCTATTTGTTTTCAAGTCAATTATTCATTTGGCTGAGAAAAATGGCCATATGCATCATATGCTTCCCACACAGCAGTTAATTAAATTCGAAAATAATATTGTTCCCACCCAAAAGGCTGCAAAACCAGCATACCCACTCCCTGACCAGCAAATTACACATCATCAGAATCTCAGCACGAGACCAGAAATTGTTAAGGCGAAATGGCAATTTCAGACGCGTCTTCCCCAATTTCCGCCGCTTTCCCCCCGATTTTTTATGGCCCAAAGGGAAAACCAAACACAAAATCAAGCAAATAAAGCACACTATATGCAAAAACACAGAAATAAACAACGCGGCCGACGTTGTCGTCATTATACCGATTTTATTTCATTTTTCTCTTAACGTTTTTCTGTGGGGACAAACCGGTTTTGGGAGCTTTGTGGACGTTTGAATGAATGCAGCTTCCAAGATTTCGGCTTATAAAAAAGCGTCAGCAAGTACAACAAAAACGAGTGAAGGGCGCGTCAAACACAACAACAATAATAACAAAACCAAAAGCCAAACAACGGAGAAAAAAATCAAGAAAAGTATTGCTATGCGAACGCGTGGAAAACGGGTTTTCGCGAAAGTTGTTGTCATTGTTCGTTCGTTGTTGCTATTATTGTTTTTTGCTGCTATTCTCGCTTGAGCGGCATTTTTACGGATACAGTAGTACATGGCTAAGTTGCACTTTTGCAATTTATATGAAATGATATATAAAATAGAAATAACTAGTCAAGTTTTACTTTGAAATATTGAAATATTTTCTCCTTTTAACTTTGATCAATTTTAAAAGTAGTTTAACTGACCAATTTGTGTTCCATTTAGGAGGGTTCCTCTGTGTTGGGTATCAAATTTTTCGGGGCGCCCGCCAGATTCGCTTGAGGCCAAAACCGAGACAGAGAGAAAACCCAAGAAATATGGCTGACTCTTGCGGGAAAAATGTTTTCTTCTCATTGTTGTTGTTCGAATGTTACAAGATAGGGGAACCTCAAAGTGGAAAAGGGGGGAAAAGGGGGAAAAGGGGGAAAAGGGGGAAAAGGGGGAAAAGGGGGAAAAGGGGGAAAAGGGGGAAAAGGGGGAAAAGGGGGAAAAGGGGGAAAAGGGGGAAAAGGGGGAAAAGAGGGAAAAGGGAGGAGGGAACCAGCCATAAACTGGCAGCAGATGAGAGACAAGGAGTAAAAGTATGAAAACATCCATTCGATATGCGCAGATAAATTATTTCGAACAAGAATTATGAATGTTCAAGTCGGATTTATGCAAAGGGTTCAAGAAGGATGGATTTTGGCTTGCATTTGCATTCCCAAGCCGAGGGAAATTTACGTGCTTGCATTCTTCTTTTATTCGAAAACATGTTGTTCATAGTTGTATTCGATTTATTTAAGTATCTTTGAAAACATAGCTCCACAAATTTAAAGTCCCACTCTATGTAAAATGTCAATTGGCGTGATCTACTTAAAAATAAACAGAAATCCCAGCTGATAACTACACCGCAAACACGAAGAATAACTATAACAACAAAACCGGACAGCTAACAATAACACGGGTGAATTTATTTGCACAACGTGATGTGCTCAACAATTTGTTAAAATAACACAAAAAAGGAGCTGAGAAAAAACCAAAAGCCGGGGAATTTTGAGCACCCAACAAAGTCAGAGATATATAAATTATTTCTACGACTTATCGCATGCAACAAAATGTGTATTTTGGTTGGCGAATAAATTAAGCCGGAGCCAAAGTGGAGTGAAAAATAGAAGACAGAGGTTGACACAACATGTCAAAGCTGAAATCCCACAAAAACAAACCCAAAGTTAATTACAACGAAAGCGAAGTCTGTTTTGGTGGTGGGACTTTTGGGAAACAATTGGTAAATCCCAGCTACGCATCACAGAATACAAAATTGGCTTATATCTACACATTGTTTTCTTATATTGGCATCGAGATTAAATCATTTCTTATTTTATAAGTTATAATTACTAGTTATTAGATCATTATCGTGACACGATATATAGCTTCCAAGCTGAACATCTCTAAGTTTAATCCGACGGCAGTAAGAAAAGCTTGGCCAAATGTCAGACAGGTTGAAGCCTTTGGGAAAAAGTGAAATAGTGACTGGCAAAGAAAAGAAAAGAAAAAGTGCAAGAAACTGACTGAAAATTAAATTGAAATTTTCTCTAATTTGCACCTCGTGGTAATTCATATAAAATAGATTGTGGCTCTTCTTTTGAAGGTTATTCGGCGCTAATTGAAGCCAGGCAAAGGCAATTACAAGCGAATTGAACGCGAATTTGTGGGCCCGGTCTAATGTCGATTTGATTGCAATATGAAGCCTGAAATTAAACGTAGTCGTGTGCAGTCGAATGGCCAAGTGAAAGGGGCTGAGATGGGGGACAGGTCACGCCTGGTGGCACGTCGTTGGGCACAACAGCAACGGCAACGGCAACGGCGAAAAAGCATCGCCACACCAGCAGCGTCAAATGCACATGCACAAAATTTTAAAATCGCATTACGTATACGCAACGTTGCGCAGCAAAGGGAAAACAGGGCGGGGGATTTGTTTATTTTCGTGTGTTTTCGTGAATGACGTGAAGCATTGAAGCAAAGCGTACTCGCAGCCAATGACAAAATCCGATTCACTTTACATCGCCCATCGATAGTTGTTGACATTGAGCCGAGCGACAGAGTTGTTCGAGTACAGAGATACTGATTTATCAAAGCTAAAAATAACAGTGAGTTGCGATTTCAACTATAAATAATGAACAAATAACAACAATGTGAAATTACATGATGTGCGGTTCTTTTTTGAATAATTTAAATAATTATTCCTGAATATCTATTTATATTTTTCAGCTATCGCTGTCACTTGCGCTTTATTGCCATCAAATTCCAATACAATATCCCCATAAATACCAATCATTGCTGGCCAACCTACTCACCTGCAGCGAGGTAATCAGAGTTCTACCAACAACCGAACATTCCTCGGTTGCAACTAATTGTATCCCCTTGCAGGCGCAATTCCCATTATTTCCCGGCAAATTACCGGCGTCTGTGTCAAAGTCAATTATGAAACCAATTTCAGAAATGATTCCCGGCTCCTCTGTTTCTCCATTTCTCTATGTTTCCCCATATGGAATACGGAGGATAGATAGCACGTAATTGGTCGAAATTCGTGTGGCTAACAATTGTTCAAATTAAACGGAGAAAGAGACTTCATGAATAATGGAATGGCAATGAATCATGCGATCGAACGAATGGACAATAACAAATTGCATATTAAATGCTTGTCCATAAATCGCTGAAGACTTTGCAGCTGCTTCTTTTTGTCCGCTTCAATAAAATCCCCCACACGCCCAGTTGAACACTTATGAAATGCACGCCGCTAATTGCATTGAC